CAACCAAGTGATGCAAAGCACAAAGGCCTCACACCCAGCTGGACCCTCCCAGCCTAGCCACCTGTGTGGTGCTTCTGAGGCACGTGCTCATTTATATGTGACAACACCAGGGTCTGGCTCAATTTCTCAAAGTGTACTTGCCAATACAAACACTCCAAGGCCTAGATAAAACAGAGTAATTTAAAACAGACCTCGTTATCCGATTAGCTGGCCAACGCCTATTTGCATTACCCATCTGTGGAGCATTTTCAATTATTGTGCCTATGTGGAGTTTAACTTAAAAAAATCTAATCTCCAATTTTTATGGATGTAACAATAACCATGAAGGTAGGCAGGTGTGGGGAAAGAACAGACTTTAAAGGGAAAGAAGTCAGTTCTTGGAAGACTCAATCTGCAACTTACTGATGTTAACCAGTAAAATGACAAAAGCAATTCATATTTTGCAGTTTCTTACAAGTAGCATGTAATGATTACAAACTAATCACATAAAGAATAGTCCGTGAGACGCGCTTAGAAACTGCATTATCTAACAACAAACTACGGTGTGCTTATTGTTACTGTGTGAAAATTGGAAATCCTAAAAGTTCCCATTTCTATTTTTAAAGTTAAAATGGAAGTGGAGGCAGGTATCTCACTACTGAGAACAGAATAGGATGGCAGCAGGTGTTTGCCATCTGGTCAGTCATCCGTAAGGAGGGTTTTACTGGGGTAATTGCTTCTTAGTGCCTTTTTAACTATTTGTTACCTGGGGACCAATGGTGTCTGGAGACACAGCTCTAAATAGCATAGACAGATTAAATAGCCCAGGGGAAATGTGCCAGTTAATGGGATACTAGAGTAGTCCTAGATGCTGAGGAGTTAACAGGAGGGCAACATAGATCCAGAGAGGAGGCAGAGTTCATACACTATTGACACTAAAAGGAGACTGAAAGAATAAGCAAGAGTTACCTAAGGATGACAAGCATTCTAGATACAAAAGCATGAACATGGGCCTTGAACTGAGGCCATGCCACCACGCCAGGTAGTTACAGGAGAGTCATGATCCTGGGATTAACATGGACAAGAGAATGGGGAGGAGGCCATAATAAACAGCCAGCTCATGAAGCATCTCCAACTATTCACTCTCCATCCTGGAGAGAAAAGGGAGGTTACTGATGGGTGGATTGCCATAGTTAGATACTGCCCAGGAAAGGAAAGGAAGACTGCTCTAGCAAAGAACTTCTAAGAAACTCACAGATCACATAAAGGAAGTACTCTTATCCTGGAAGACAAATCTCCCCACCAAAAAACAAACAAAAAACCTAAACTGACTACTAAAAACTGGTTTCAAAGTAACACATTTACTTGCAACTTAAAACAAAATGGTAAGAATCCATGGTTACAGTAATTTGAGACAGCTTAATTAAGATGCAGCTTTGTGATCTCAGGCAAACCTGGCTCCTATAAAGAAACAAGGACCAGACCTTATTCCTCCCCACATTCTCACCTTCTATCCTCACCTCTGCTCAGCTGATGCCAGCTCAGCCTTTGTTGCTCACTTAGAGACCAAACTAGGTTTGCTCAACAAAATCAGATTTTGCCATCAACTAGAGGAAACTGACAAGCGAGCCAAATAACTGAAAAATTAATGCTAACCAGTTCTGATCCTAGGGTTAAGCAAAATTAATCTTAGATGTCTTGCCAGTGGTCATTAAGTAGCAAGCAGTATTCTAAACTAGGAAGTCTAAGCGCCTACCAGGGCAAAGTGTAAACATGACCATCACAACAATCATTAGACCCAAGCATATCTAAATTAGCCTTTTAAAAATAAATTATTCCATTAAGCATAAAATGCAAGGATTAAAATTTCAAACGTCTAGTGAAATCAAAAGGTGGTGAAAAATACTGGCACATGGCCGAACACCATAAGCTCAGCTGTTCCAGAAAGAAAACATTTGTTTCCAACTTGAAGCAATACTTTTTAGTCTGTGGTTAAAATTATCTAAAAATATAATAGAAACAACAGAAAAGCAGGCAGTGGGGTCGCTGAAGAGATGGCTCAGCAGTTAAGAGGACTTGCTGTTCTTGCAGAGAGCAAGGGTATGGTGCCCAACACCCACAAAGTGGCTCACAAATCCAGTTCCAGGGGATCAAATACTTTCTTCTAACTCCATAGGCACCATGCACACATAAAGTGCACATACATACATGCAGGCAAAACATGAATTCACATAAAATAAAAGTAAATAAATCTGAGAGAAAGAGAGAGCATGCCAGGCATGGTGGCAGATGGCTGTATTCCCAGCACTTGGGGAGGCAGAGGCAGGAGATCTCTGGTTGTTTGAGGCCAGCATGGTCTGCAAAGCAAGTCCAGGAGAGCCAAGGTTACACAACAAAACCCTGCCTCAAAAACAATAAACAAAAACAAAAAAAAGGTCTTATAAGAGACGAATTGTTAAAAATCAATCTTTAAAAATCAAGATGGGGTTTTGGGAGCTAGAATTCACAAAAATTTACAAGAAAAAAAGACTAACTACATTTCTAAATATATGTACATTTCCAATATATTTGGGAACTGAGGCATTTATCATTACACTAAGATAATTCTTACAAGGCCATGTACAAATCTTGGAAAAGAAAAATATTACAGCTATTAGGAGAAGCATCAATCCTCGCTGAAGTACATGGATGTAGTAAATGCTTTTCTTCCAATTACGGCAGCTCAGCTTTTCATGATTTCTGAAAATAATTAAATTAATATTTTAAAGCATACTTTGAGTATTTGTGATTCACCAACTTGCTTAAGTTTTTTTAAAAAAACTACTACTTCAGTGTCTGAAGACATGGCGTAGTGGTTAAGAACACTGACTCCCCTTCCAGAAAACCTGGGTTTGATTTTCAGCACCTACATGGTCCAGGGGATCTGATCCCTTCTTCTGGCCTCTATAGATTCTGGAAAAATACATCATACACAGATACACATTCAGGCAAAATATCCATTCACATAAAATAATAAAATAATTTTAAACAAACCTAACAAACCCAGTCATTATGTATTTGTTAACAAATGTTAAAAAAAAAATTACACAGTAAGGAGCAATGAGATAGGAGCTATATGGGTTGGGAAACTGAGACACTCATTCTTCCACTCACCCCTTCTTTAAACAAGCATTTGATACAATACAGGCTAAAAAAAATTTAAGTTTTTGAAAAAACATAGCTCTATGTTTCACCAAATTTGAGATGCTATTGTTACAAAGAAAGCAGATCCCAAACGTTTGATTTTCCAATATAAAGACTTGAGAGCCAGATATTGGGGTGAAAACCTGTTGTCTCAGAAACACAGAGAAAGCTTCCAGCTGACCTTCCTACTCAGCTCTTGTCCCAGAAGGAAAAAGCCCCTTCTTCTCCATGCTGTCTTTAAATACCCTTCAATTCAATTTCCCTCCTTCCTGTGTTTTGTCAACTGGTTGTTTGCTCCTCCTCTTGACCTATGGTTTGCTTTATCTAGCTCTTGTTTACAGAAAGCTCTTGGGTTAAAGGTGTGTGCTAGTGCTTACCCACATCACAACTACTTGTTTACAATACACAGAAAATTATTGGATTAAAGGTATGTGCTAGGGCTGAACCACAGCACAACTAGAAACAGGTTTTTCTCGGGATTCACAGTGTGATCAAATATCCTGAAACATGCTATCAATCATAAAACTATTTCTTAATGAAAGAGGGAAATGTTTTGATTTTTCTTCCCCTATATTCCTTAAAGTTTGAGAAGTCTTTCTGCCTTCAGTACATTGTTGGGCATTTCCTATGGCAATCTCACTTTGTATCACTTAGAACAAAATTAAGCTTTATCAACTTTTGATTTTTTGTTTTGTTTTGTTTTGTTTTGTTTTTGAAACATGCTCAAGCCCAAGCTGGCCTCCAACTCACAGAAATCCACCTACGTCTGCCCCCCAAGTGCTGGGATCAAAAGAATGCACCAACACACGTGGCCTTCATCTACTTTGAGTATCTTCCTTTTTAGCTCTCACAAAACACTTGGTTGTTAACTTTTTTAAAGAAATGTTAGTGAAATTATGACAATTTCACCATAAATGTTTATTCCACAAATTCCAAATTTATTTCTCTGCTCTGGTTATGTCTTTTGTTTTTGATTCAACAGCTTTTTTGTTTCAATGCCAAATCATACTGAGATCTTTTCATTTAAATGGCAATAAAAACACGTGCTGCTCTTGCAGAGGACCTCGGTTCAGTTCCCAGCACCCACAAGGTGACTCACAACCATTTGTAACTCTAGTTACAAATGGTTACAGTCTGACAGTCTCTTCTGGCCTCTGTGGGCACCAAGCACACACGGCGCACATACACATATACAGGCAGGACACCCAGACACATAAAATAAAGACAAATAGTTTTAATTAACATATGATTTTAATGTGTCCAGTTTTACAGCTGCTCACAATGTAGAGACACAAGTCTTAAAATATGGTTCATGTATGAGGAGAAGAAACAGATTAATAACAGATGCAGATATTGCAACATTTTCTTTCTTGACTCAATTTAAGAGTGAAATTAAATCTGTATCACACACTTAATAATGCTTCTGCCTCAGCAGAGGTCACATGGACTTTCCTGTACTAACTCAGCCTCCTAGATAATCTCCCTCATGTCCACGGCCTCTAGTCATCAGGTACCCCAAAAATAATGAAATAAATTCCTCATATTTTACTTCAAAGCTGTCCTACAGAAGAATCAATAGGAAAATGGATCAAAACGTGCAGTGCCCTCCAAGTTTTTATTACTCTTTCTTAACTGCCAAATATCATATCAACTCCAGGCTGCTTTTCTCTTTTATGAACACAGAAAATAAGCTGCCCTGCATACATCAGAGGAAACACTAAAAAGCCTTAAGTGAAACAAGGAATGTGAGTAAATACTGTCAGAAGTGTCTTTGTAAGAGTTAGGGGAAAATACAGAAAAAGAAGGCTCTCAACAGCGCAGATGTGACTATCACCTACCTTCCCATGCTGCCCAGCCCTTTCATAACAGATGACCACGTCTTCCCACATCTCCAGCTTCTCAAATATCTGAAGCGCAGAAGTGGTGCATCCCAACTCAAAGAGCAGACCTGCAAGCTGGCGCTAGAAAAAAAAAAAAAAAAAAAGACAAGTCATCAGTACCCCTTGCTATGAGGCAAATCCCATAATACTTTCCAGCATCTCCAACCTACCTTTTAAAGGGCTCCATACTGTAATACATGCATCCTATGAAATTCAACCTCTACTACCGAGGAATTTATGGGAATCCTACTTACTTCAGGAAGCTTTTTTACAGAGGATAAAGTACTAAAAACAAACAGGAATGGATCAAAACACTCAATGCATCTAATTTTTAAGCACTTAGAACTCAAAATTATTTCCTTCTTATCTAAAGATCCCTCCCATGTGAACCTTTGATTTGGAAAGGTCCCATCCAATAAATCAACAGTGTTTAAAGCTCAAAGGAAGCAATGCAGAGACCATAAAATCTCTGTGATTAGTCCCTGGGAATTTACACACAAGGACATCTCTGGCTGTCTCAATCAGTCTTACTTATTTTAGACACATTCTAGAAATCTGAGTCACTTAATTTCACAGTGCCTGAAAGATCAAAATGAGCAAAATAGATCAGGGCCAGAAAAAATAGATTCAACAATAAATAGCCTATGTTTTTTTAAATTTTGTTTTTAATGTTCATTGGTAGTTTGCCTACATCTATGTGTGAGGATGTCAGAAGCCCTGGAACTGGAGTTACAGACAGGTGTGAGCTAGGTGCTGAGAATTGAACCTGGGTCCTTTGGAAGGGCAACCAGTGCTCTTAAACTCTGTCCCTCTCTCCAGCCCCAAAACAGACTATGTTTTAAGTAGCCCATCCTATGGGCATGGAAAACATAGTAGGTGAAATAAAGGAGATGATGTTGTTGAATAAGGTCTGGTTTCACCTCAGTGAACACTGTGTTCTTTCTTCTTTTGAAGAGATCTTTACAGCTCTTTAGAAATACAGCTTACATAAGAATTAAGAAACTGGCACTGGCAAGATGGCTCAGAAGTTAAGAACACTGGCTGTTCTTCCAAGCATCCTGAGTTCAATTCCCAGCAACACATGGTACTCATAACCATCTACAATGAGATCTGGTGTCCTCTTCTGGTGGGTGGGCACACATGCAGGTAGAATACTGTATAAATAATAAATAAATAAATCTTGAAACTAATGGAAGCTAGGCGTGAGACATGCACCTGTAGGCTCAACACTGAGGGGCAAAGGCGGGTGGATCTCTCTATGTTGGAGGCCAACCTGGTCTACATAGTAAGTTGCAGGCTAGCCGGGGATATATAGTAAAACCTTGTCTCAAAAAGAAAAGGGAACAGAGCTTAACAGTATTTCCATGTGCTGCAACATACAGGAGAATTTGGCAATTTCAGAGCACTGAATTAGATGTAGGGTCCAGGAGCAGCAACACAACTTGCTGCTCATGGAGGAAGTACTTCGATACTGTCAATTGAAAGGTGAAGAAAGTTACCCAAGAGGGCACAGCTGGCCAGTGGTAAAGATTTTCCTTACAATAAGTTGCTTTTGACACATATCTTTCAACTACTACATAAAGATAAGGCTAGTCACTATGATGAAAGGAAAAAGGGCAATTTAATAATTTAGTGAAAAATTATCTACATTTTATCAAACTGCCTAAAGACTCTAAAACCACAGCTTCTAAAGGACAAATAGTCATCTAAGTTCTTTCTGGATGGTATTTAGGTTTTGTAATGGTCTGTTCAGAAACAGAAATAGCTACACAGCTGGAGACAGGGCTTAGCTCACAACCAAAGGACAGAAGCTACACACTGAACATAATAACAGCTCAAAATCTCAACTGCTGACCAGCCACAAACCATACAGGATAAGGTACTTCATAAATTCCACACACTGGGATCATGTGCACCAAAGGCTCCGGCTGTTACCTGGAGCCTGTTACCTGGATGAAGAAGCTGCTCCTAAGAGTTACAGCAAAACAATTTTTATTACCTGTGTTTCCTTCGATATGTAAGATAGCTTCCAAAGTGGAGCAAATAACCTAGTTGCAGACTCTAATCCCTCTAGGGATCTCAAAACAGGGCTTCTGGACCACTGAGCAATAGGGCAGCTTTTTTAAGTCTAAGTTTCTACCTGTGTATATAATACACAAGTGACAGGACAAAGCTGATTAAAACATCAAGTCACTAAATCATCAGAAACCTCTAGCTAACATCATTTTATCTGGGTGTCAAAGTGGCTCATCTACAAATTCTAGGACATTTGATAAAATCAATGTGATAAAATAAGGTACTGTGGAAACTGTAGAACAAAATATATGCATCCTGCTAAGTGCCTTTAATCCAGCACTTGGAAGGCAGAGGCAGGCAGAGCTCTGTGAGTTTCAGGCTTGCCAGGGCTGGCTACTCAGTCTCAAATGAGGGACAGGGAAGGTAAAAGAAAGTAAATTATACTAAATATCAAGACACTGGGAGCTAGTTCATGAGGAACGCTCACTGCACTGGGCTCAATTTTCTTCTCCATAAAGTTAGAAACAACTAGAGGGAGCATATCAAAAATCCAGGAGAAGCATGGGACAAGAAGCCAGTATACCAGCTCAGTGTGGCCTTAGGAGCTACCCCGGTGACTCCTCCACCCTGGAGAGAGAACAAGTCAGGCCCAACTCAAAACAGAAAGTGCCAAATAAATGCTTTCTTTTCTTTTCTTTTTTCTTTTTAATCAAATCATTAAAAGGGTCAAAGGTTTATTATTTGGTAGAAAGCTCTTCAAGAAATGTCTTCAAGGAAATATAAAGTGTTGGGGCTCTGAGAAATGGTTCAGCAGCTAAGAACACTTCCTACTCTTACACGACCACAGTTCAGGTCCCTGAATCATGTCAACTGCTCATAACCACCTGCAATTCCATCTCCAAGCCACTCTTGTCTGTCCTCCACCACACAGCATGCAAACATGCATGCACACATCCTCACACACATACACACACACTCACAAACTTAAAAGCACTCTCACATTCATACATTCACGTATATACACTCAGATACATACTCGCTCACAAACTTAAAATCAGACTCTAACACTCATACACACACTCACACTTGCTCATTCACACAGAACAAAAATTAAGAGTAAATCCTTAAAAAGCTAATATAAAATGTCCTTTTGAAAAACGAAAGCAGGCAGGCAAATCTCCTAATAAGCCAAAGCCATTCCTTCCTTAACTAAAGCACTCTCTCTTTCCTTAACTAATGCACTCTCTCTCCTTCCTTAACTAATGCACTCTCTCTCCTCCCAACCTCTTTCTCCCTCGATTCCTATGCTTCACTCTATATTAAAACCTTTTCTTAAATGCCAACTCATGAAATGGAAAACAAAAACATTCATGATTCTCCTATCTTAATTTCTAGGATTCTATCTACTACCAATTTAAAAATATTCCAAAATGTTTTTAAATCTACTACTTTAATCAAAACAGCAATTTGAAACAATTGGCAATCCCCAACTGCTTTTATTAATTTTACTCAAGTATTTAAAAATTAAAAGCAAAACATTTAAGTCATCCATTTCTAGTGTATTTTCTTTTGTAATTTAGAGTATTTTTCATATAAAAGACAAGCAAAGGTACCTGAACAGCCCAGTGAGGGGGCACTTGACAACAATAGAAAATCTTCAGACGTTCCCGTACAGATGTAGTTTTATCTTCAAATTGGTCTGCAAGAGCCTAAAGAATACATATGATAAACATTAAGCTGTATGTATAATAATTTTTAACATAAACAGTTCCTATTGTGAAGATTATTTAAATGCACATATAAATAACAAAGAGCTCAAGTCATTTTGTCAAGGTTAGAGAAGCTATACGGAGTTTCTTTTGAGATAAAGTATTTTTAAAACTTGGAAGTTTCATCACTACTTCTATAAACAAGCACATTTAAACATTACCAGGAAAATTTAACTACAATTTCTTATAATAAATCTTTCAGAGAACTAACCTTATTATTGAAAATTTTTATTTTCTCTAAGAAAATTGTTCTTTATTGTATTTATCTCCAACATAATGCCATTTTGTCAATGTTACTCTCCAATGTCAGTGAGAGGGTAGCTGTACTCTCTCAGTGAACTTGCGATTTTTTCTCAGGAATTAGGTAATGAGAAAAAGCAGGTCGACCCAATTAGGAGCAAGTCCTCTCGTTCTACAGCAAAGCTGAAGAGTGGGCATCCCTCTATGCAGGCCCACCTGTGTGCTGCAGCCGTGGCTGCAAGCCGTGGAACTGAAGAATTGTTATGACGTCCAGAAATCCCCAACCTGGTAATGAAAACCAGCTCCCACAGACTACAGCAGATGCAAGGACTGAGACAGCTCTCTGAGGACAGGAACCCAGGCCAACTGCAGGGTCAAAAACTGGCACTATGAAGTAATCAAGTGACTGGTCATCAAAAAGCTCACATACAGAATGTCAACTTGAATACAAACATAACTTGGAACCCTAGACCAACACATGGACAGCAGCCCCATTACCACAGCCGCCTGCCCCGCCTCCTGGTTTGTCATACGTTTGTACTACACATACTTTTTCTGGTATCGGACTTTATTTGTGGTAAGCGGTGCTTCAGGACAGGGTTTCTCTGTGTAGGTTCTGCCTCTGAGTGCTGGGATCACCACCTACCTGGCGTGGCATCAGCTTTCAGCCAAGTTATTATTAACATGTCTTTTGTTGCTGTTGTTTTCCAAGACAGAAGGTTTCTCTGTGTAGCCCTGGCTATCCTGGAACTCACTCTGCAGACCAGGCTGGCCTCAAACACACATAGATCTGCCTGCCTCCAAGTGCTGGGACTAACAGCATGCACCACCATACCCAGGCAAATTATGTTTGTATTCAAGTTGATATTTTCTATGTGAGCTTTTTGATGACCAGTCACTTGGTTACTTATAGTGCCGGTTTTCTAATTTTCTGATTCTAACACACAAAGCTGTTATGTAGGATACTGTCGTTCCTGTGTTTGAGGATAGCAAAGCACCATGTGACAACACTCTCACACATCAGGATATAGAAGTGTTGCTGTGCTATACTTGTGTCTTCTTTCAAGTTGTTTCAATAATTTACAAAATTAAATTTAAAAAATTGAAAATAAATCTAAGAATCAATATTAAACTTCCTCAGAAGATAAATAAGGACAGGAATCTAAAACAATCTGACAAAATCCTGCCATGGTTTAAAGTGAAATGTACCCCCCAAGGCTCATGTATTTGAACACTTGGTCCCCAGCTCTGGAGTGTGATACTGGGAAGTTGCAGAACCTTTGAACCAAGAGCAGTAGCAAATAGGTGAACAGGAGTGAGTTTTTGAAGGTTATGCCTTCCTTTAATTCTGATCTTGGACTCTCTGCTTCTTGGTTGGCCAATGTGAATAGCCATGCTGCCTCATGATCCTACCAACACAGACTAACTTGTTTTCACCACACTGCCCCTACCATGATGAACTAAAATCTCCTGAAACCATGAGACAAAATAAATCCTTTTAGTTGCTTTTATTAAATATTTAGTTACAGAGACAAGAACAGCAAATATGGCAGAGCCAGCACAGAAGGCCATTTCCTAAGCTCCAAAACTGTGGCTCTGCCGTGTGCTACAGAGGAGATCTGCTCGTTAGTTTAAAGTCTCACAGAATGAGTTCACGTGTCAGAACAAACTTAGTAGTACACATCACTTCTTGGACAGCTCAAAATTCTATTCAGTCAACATCAGTCAGAACAAATTGAGACATAACCACACTCCCTAGCTATCTTGGACAAAGCTTCCTGGCCTTGCTTCACAGAAACTTAATAGCAAAAAGGCTGCATGCCTCTGCCCAGGGTGTTTCACTGAGAGAGGAGGGCAAAGAGCAGCAACTTCTGGCTGCAGACATATGGTCACAATACATAAATAAAGATCACAGGATTCCTTCCTGTCAAAAGAAAAACTTTTTTTAATCCAACATACAACTTTTCAAAACAAAAAAGAAAACTTTTACTTAATAGCCTAAAATTTAAAAGTAACATCATACAATTTACCAAGTGTTTGTTACATGTAAAATTTTATTTTCAAACAAAATCTATGTTGGTTTGATCATATGACAAGGTAACATTAAATACTCATAAGTAGTTTGTGGCTTTTTAACCAATTTTTTGTACATTTCAGATACTTCTAGATGACCTGCAGTTAGCTGTGTCTGATGTTCTCAGATGCTCTCTCAAATGGCAAAAACCACCAGATACAATAGAGTCAACACACATCGCACTGTCTAGCACAGCTGCTCTCAACCTTCCTAATGCTGCGACCCTTTCATATAGTTCCTCACGTTGTGGTGACCCCCAACCATAGCATTATTTTCATTACTGCTTCGTAACTGTGTATAACATAACCATAATGTAATTATCTGGTATACAAGATATCTGATACGCAACCCCCGTGGGGCCACACAACCACTGGTGTGAGCTCCCTACAAGAGCTGAACTGGCTCCACTTGTAATAAAGATTAACCTAACACCCACCTACTTCTCTCCTATACAGAATATACTTCTTGCTATCTTAAGCATGGCAATCACCTAAGTAAAATTTAGCTACCAATAAAACTAAGAACAATAAACTAATAAACAACAAAAGGGTGGTAGTTGATTAGAAGTCCCTCAATTACTCCAACGTACTCTTTTCATTTGCTCATTGACTAATACATCCTAACAAAATCCTGCTGTGCTTTGATGTGGAATGTCCTCCATAGGCTCATGTGTTGGAAAACTTGGTCTCCGGCTGGTGGTATGACACGGGGAGAGTGTGGAGTCTCTGAGCCAAGGGCCCTGCCTGGCAGCAGTGGGTTGTGAGATTTTTTTTTTTTTCAGAGCAAGTTAAGTTTTAGCAAGTTTTGAAATTCTGCTATCATACTCAAACTGGAATCCTCACAGGTACAATCAATAGGAAAAGCAGGGCTGACATTTACAATGACCTGAGGTCTCCCCACATAAAAAGGATCATTTAACCACAGTGGCATTCATCCACGAAAGGATTCTTAAAGTAACTCTTGCACCCTTAGCAAATCTACAAGGATGGCTTTCTCAAAAAAAAAAAAAAAAAAAAAAAGCCTTTGGTGGTTTTGTTGTTTTTTTAAATTTTTCTTAATTTTTGTAGCTTTTATTATTTATTTTATGTTTAATTTGAGTGGTTTGTCTTTCATGTATACCACTTGTGTGCCTCCTGCCTGCAGAGCTCAGAAGACATCAGATCTCCTGGAACTGGGGCTATGGATAGCTGTGAACTGCCATGTGGTTGAAGGAATCAAACCCAGGTCCTCTGCAAGAACAAGTGCTCTTAACCACTGAACCACCTCTCCCAGCCCTGAGAGATTTGTTTTCTTTCCAACATTTAAGGTAAGTTGATGGTTAGTACCAGTCACCAACCAAGAGTATCACGTATATTTACTGGGAGCAAAACCAGTAAAAAAAAGTGTGGTCTCCCCACAACCCATAGGTAACCCAGCAGATCTCAAACCTTCCAAAATCCTCCTGACTCAGCCTTCCCAAATGTTGGGCCTACTGATACATACCACTGCATGCACCTTGCTGGTTTTCAAGTTTTAATACTTCCTCTTAAGGGCATTTTTCCTAACTCCTTCTAAAAGCAAAATATGTGTGTATATGGAGCCCCAATCCCGCCCCCAATAATAATGCCCACATCACCAGGAGCTACAGTCTCAGGGAACAGGGGATCTAGGAGAATAAAACTGCAGAATTAGGGATGTATCTCTTCCTTTTGGTGCTGTTTTCAGTAAAGAATTTCCCAGAAAAACCTACCCTGATTAAGACTAAAATGTAAAGTTAGCACAGAGAATGATTTATGTGTAAGACAATTCTGCATAAGGTCTGCTCTGATTTATACTTCGTGCGCTCGCATCTGAAAGTATGGGCACACACCTTCAAAGGAGCGCAGCTGGCCCCAGAGGGCCTTCCTTCCCTTTCACTGAAAGCAATTCATCCTCACTAGAAGGATATCAAAGTGTCTAAATTTTCTGAAGAGCCCAAGAGAGACTAGCTGATAATCTAAACAGTCTGACTGATCACATGCCAGATCACCTTTGATTTGCTACTTTGTACATGTCTTTGTGCGCAGGATAGAACTTATATGTACTTAAGCAAACATATCAACAGTTGGGCGGGACAGCTTTTCTTTGGACAGGAGCCTGAAGTCAACAGTGATTTACAAATCGAGCAATCAAGTAGACTGCCACTTTAGACTCCCAAAGATAATAAATTCCCCGCGGGAAGGAGAATTAGAATTAAAATCTACTAAGTTCCAACAATATCCTTAACCTATGCTAAACCAGTATTGCATAATAATTAGCAAAATGGCACCAGTGAGAAATAAAAGGTCAGGTCAAAGTTCCAGGACTGTAGGGCAGAGAGATGAGCAACCTGACAGCTTCTTCTCAGCCTTCTCTCATTTCTACATGTACATGCCCAGACTGTGACATGAAAAGCAGCTTCTTGCTGGAGAAACACTGAGAACTGTGTTTGACCGTTCTTTACTACCTTTAACAAAACCTTTAACACAGAATCCAGGATCCGTCATAGTCAGTAACATGTACAGCTGTTTTTGCTAATGGGAACTGGGAGAGCAAGATCTCTTCTTCAAGCTTCCATGGTGAAGATAAAACAACAGTGGCAGCCTTGAGAAAGCCGGGTGACCACACTGACAGCCGCTTCCTTAGCCATGCCTTGAGTTGGTACTCCTAAAACTTTTGACTTTGGGTCCCTTTAACCTTCAAAGTTTCTTAGGGACTGTAAAGAAATCTTGTTTCCATGTGCTATACAATCACTCGATAGTTGCCACGTTAAGCTGGATGAACCAAGATTGAAGACCCAAACATGAGTACTCCAACCATCCAATACTTGACAAAGATGCCAAACAACACACACTGGAGAAAAGGCAGAATCTCCAACAAATGGTGCTGGCAGAACTAGACATCCACATGAAGAGTGAACTTAACCTATATCACCTTGAACAAAAACTAACTCAATATGGATCCAAAACCTAAACATGAAGCATGGAACTGCTAGAAGAAAACACAGGCAGCATCCGACAGGATATAGGTGTAGGAAAGGACTTTCTGAATAGGATCCCATTTGCCCAGGAATTAAGGTCAACAATTGACAAATGGGACCTCATAAAACTAAAATTCTTCTGCACAAAAAAAAGATAATAATGAGGCAAGCAAAGAGGAATTCCACATAGAGGTAGAAAATATTTGACAGCTATCATCTGACAGAGGATTTAGTATCTAGAATATATAAAGAACTTTAAAAAGCAAATGACATGTTCAAAAAATGAACTTGAGATCTGAATAAAGCTTTCAAAAAAAAAAAAACAACAAAAATAGCTAAGAAATATCTCAAAAAATCTTATTCTTGTGAAGAAGAGAAAGCTGAATAACAATAAAAAAGACTATATTCTACTTTTATTACTACTGTCTTAGTCACTGTTCTACAGCAATAAGAAGCATGACCAAGGCAACTATTATAATGGAAAGATTTAATTGGAGGCTAGCTTACACTCTCAGAGGTTTAGGCTGTTACCATCATGGCAGGAAGCATGACAGCATGCAGGCAGACTCTGGAGCAGTACTGAGAATACTAGTTCCTCCAATGCCAGACCTCTTAATCCTTCCAATCCTTTCAAATAGTGCCACTGCACAGTGACTAAGCATTCAAATATATGAGCCTATGAGTATCATTCTTATTCAAACCACCAGAGCTACTCACAACTGTGTTTCTACTTTAATCTACTCAGCTAAAACAAGCATTACAGTGAACAGGACTTCCACAAGCACTGTCTTGATCCTCACCCACACTCTTAACCCAAACAGTCAACAATGTTTACAGAACTCAGCCCACAAAATTTCATGGGATGGGAGTGTTTTTAACGGCTTGCTCTGAGTTTGTAATTCTCTCTCTCTTGTGGCTTTTACAATCTTTGGTTATTCATGTATGATGCTACATTTTCTTCTTAATTTTGGCATATTAAAAGTATACCTGGAGAAGGTTAATGGGGGGGAGGGGACTCCCATTTTCTGGGGGAAAGAAAGAAAGGAAGGAGGGAAAGTGAAGAGACTGGGAGGAGGGAAAGGAGGGGGCACCCTCATGATGTAAAGTAAATAAACTTAAAAAAAAAAAAAGGTCTACCATGATTTAGGAGCTGTCATTGGAGCTCTCAATATAACTGCCAGATGATACAAACTGTCAGTAACTGGTCAGACAGATCTGAACAAGTCCCTGACTTCAGCACACCTGTATTTTTTCAACAGGAACAGGACACAACTGAGCTTTTCCATTAGTGCTCCTCTGGATCCCCTCGCCATCCCACCTCAACTTTAACAGTTCATCATTTAGCACTATACAGTGTTGGAAGGAAACCAATTTTTACAGAAATTAATCATTTTATAAAAACCACTGTTTTATGTATACATTTATTACTTTAAATCATTTCCTTACTCTTGAAGAGAGGCGGTGATTTCAACAAGCACAGAAGCACTGCACTGTGAGTCACAGGGACTGGCAAATGGTCAGGGCACAAGCTAAGAGGCTCAACAAAGACAGCAACTCAGCCCATGGATTCACCCTGTCACACGCCCTGGCTAATTCCAAAATCTGGGAGCTGGGAAAATAAAAACTTTTCCCCTGAACTACCGCCCTGCAAAGGCAGAAGTAACAACTCTTTAACCCTGTTCATTGAGAAGAACTGCATGTGCTCTTGGTAAGGTGGCACAGGGTGAGATGGTGAGGAAGAGCTCAGGAAGAACAGAGGAACATCCCTCTGCTTTGAACTCTATGCTCACTGCTCAAAGCACACTCTCGCCATCTGACACCAAAAGCGCAGTAATCTAAATCCAAGCTGGTGTGGTAACCCTGCCAATCCCAGCACCTGCATGGTAGAAGCAGGAGGATCAGGAGCTCATTCTCAGCTGCACAGTGAGTTTGAGGCCAGCATGGACACATGATGAGATTCAGGATTACAGAGCTTTACACAGTAAAGCGACAAAGCTGAGCTTTGTGGCCAAATCCTAGAGGCTGCACCCTAAAGAGCAGCACCGTGTGGATGGAACAGAAGGCACCCCATTCTTGCAAGTGCCACATGTCTACACTTTCTACAGCAACAGGGGAAGAGCGTGCCACCACGTTACCTGCGTCTGCCTCATCGCGCGCTCCACTCGCCGTGTGCTTCCTCTCTCAAGTTTTGTACGGAGGATCAAGGCTGACGTTTGAACGGCCCAGAACTTCGGTTGTGAAAGTAAACACTGATGGAAGAAGGGAGAAGAGAAAGAAGGAGTAAGCCAGAGGCAACTCTTAGAGGTACGCCCCACAAAAAATTCGAAATACCACTAAACACAGATTTGACCACCTAAGCAAACAAACAATAAAAAGCGCTCTTCTTTTTCTCAACTCACACATAAAACATTTTTTTTAATGTAGGAGAATCCTTTTAGCTGTGGTTAGAGTAGGGAATCCACAATGTTAGATGCCCTAACTTCAGACAAAATGCTTCCTTTTTTAAATATTTCTTTATTACAATTTATTCACTTTGTATCCCATCTGTAGCCCCCTCCCTTGTCCCCTCTTAATCCTACCCTTCTTCCCTTATCTCCTCCCATGCCCCTCCCCCAGTCCATCGATAGGGGAGGTCCTCTTCCCCTTCCATCTGACCCTAGCCTATCAGGCCTCATCATGACTGGCTGCATTGTCTTCCTCTGTGGCCTGGTAAGGCTTCTCCCCCATCAGGGGGAGGTGATCAAAGAGCCAGCCACTGAGTTCATATCAGAGACCATCCCTGTTCTTTCACCTTACAAGGGAACCCACTTGGAGACTGAGCTGCCTTGGGCTACATCTGTGCAGGGGTTCTAGGTTACCTCCATACATGGTCCTTGGTTGGAGTATCAGTCTCAGAAAAGACCCCTGTGCCCAGATTTTTTGGTTCTGAGCTTTGGATCTTTAGGGCTTTAGCTATCTAGCTCTCTGGCTTAGCAAGCTTTAAGCCTTGCATTTTGGGGGCCTTTTGCTCCTGGGATGTCAGCTGAGCTAGTGAGCCTTTTGGGTTTTTCCATTCCAACCTGAGATGAGAATAAAGGTCAGCTGGATGCTTTCTCTGATTCTCTGAGCAAGTAGGCTTTTCACCCCAGCATCTGGCTCCTGAGTCTTCAATGGAAAAATAGAACTTGTGGAGCTCCAGTCCCCTCGAGGTCTTTCTATCTCCCCCTTCCTTCATAAAATTCCCTGCACTCTGCCCAAAGTTTGGCTATGAATCTCAGCATCTGCTTTGATGCCCTGCTGGTAGAGTCTTTCAGAGGCCCTCTGTGGTAGGCTCCTGTCCTGTTCCCTGTTTTCTCCCTCTTCCGATGACTATCCTGTTTGCCCTTCTGAATGAGGATTGATCATCTTACCCAGAGTCCTCCTTCTTGCTTAGTTTCTTTAGGTGTATGGATTTTAGTAGGTTTATCCTATGTTATATGTCTAATATCCACTTATAAGTGCTTTCTTAAAGGGGGCATTCTAAGAAAATCTCACCTACAATGAAACTTAAAATATGCACATACTGAAACCTAACTCAAAGAAAGCCACGCCAGGCCTCAAACAGAACTCAGGCTGAAACTTTAAACAGAACCAGCAGTGCTAAGAAACAAAGTGAAAGTTGTGAGAAAAACAAAGTGTGTGGTGGTAAATGGGGACTGCCTGGCATACTGGCACAGTTTAAGAGCTCTCAGATGTCGACGGGGAACACAGAACTGTCCCCGTGCAGCTATTCCAACAACAACCTTCATTAAAGCTCGTTACAAAGAAGGGGGCTTGTTTATCTGTCTGAGAGTTGGCACCATCCTTCATCACTGTATGTTGGCTGTTTCTAAACAAGCATTTGCTTGTCTCTAGAAGTCAGGTGTGGAAAGCATCCTAGTCAGAATCCAATTAGTCACTCACAGCATCACTGCTCATTAGAAGCACCTGGGAAGCTTTTAGAACTTTATAAAGATTTCTAATAAGAAGAGGATCTGGGCACCCATATATGTAATATTATATATATATATATAATAATATATATTTTTTAATTTATTTTTTTTAAGTACTCCATATGTAGCGCAGCCAACTTTAAGAACTATTAGTTTAAAATAATACAAATTTGTCTCTGGTCAAATTTGCCCATTAACTCACAATATTTATTAATGACACCAAAGTTCCCAGAACTCCTCACTGTTCCATGACTCTGGTTACCCGCATGCCTCTATTGGCATGTGCTCTCTCCACTCATCCCTCACCCCTGACCAGACCATAAGTGACTTTGCCTTTTATTTCTTTTCATCAAAAAAACATATTAATAATAACACTTTTTAGGTTACCATACAAATAATGAGTTTCCCCAGAGCGTTTCCACACATATGTGCAATTACACTTTATTCTCCTTGGCTGTCCCACTGCTCTACCCTGTTGCCCCACCCTGCTTCTTTCCCCAAGATAGCGCCCATATTCTATTTTCTTATCACATGGATCTCATCACCCCTTCCTGCTCCCCCCCAAAAGATCTTGGCCTCCCTTCTCATGATCCCCTTTTTAGTTTCAAGGTACCTGAATTCTTAACCCTTAATCTAGACCAACCTCCCTACAATTAAAAAAATGAAGATAACAGCAAAAGCTAAGAGTAGAATTTCGTCCAAAAGCAACACTCTTGTCATTTTATAAGATTTTCCCATCAGTCTGCAACAAGAGCAGTGTGTGCAGAATGGAGAGGCTCGGGGATGCGCCAAAACTCAGTGGCTAACACACCACAGTGATGAAACTTTTGCCTCAGAAAAGTCAGACTGTTTCCTACACAAGCTTGAGAACAGGAGGTCTGTCTTGGACTTTTCTGTGGCTGTCAAAAAAAACATTCCCACTAAACTCTGAAAGCAAAATGCCATCTGACAAATAGGTATTTGAAAAGGAATGAACATTATCCTCCGGGGAGGAAGCTGTGCACTGTAGTTAGTACGTTGCAGGAAGCACTGCCATGAGGTAAGAATCAATCCTTATGTGCAGCATTAGATGAAGAAAAAGAAAACATCCTGCAAACATGCCCTACTGACTGGTATGGAGAACTGTATTCATACTGTACAATCAAGCCCAACAGTGAGAACAATCTCCCGTTTACGCAGTAGGCAAGAGTACCCATTGCTTCACAATCAAGCCCAAATCTACACAGAAGGTGAAGTTTACACAGGCATAACTTAACAATGGTGGTGTTTGTAAAACTAAAGCCCAGTCAATAGGTAGTAAATCTAGCCAACTACATGTGCCTAGAGAGGCCATAGACCATAGAGAACCTACAACTCCCATTTTCCTAAACAACATAGTTTCCAACTGTGTTCTAAAAACACATCCTTACACTCACGGCAAGTGTAGCTCTCACCCTCACCAAACAGCTTCCTTTTCGCAGCACATGAGGCTACTACAGAGATCCAAAACAGGTCAAAATGCAGTGAATAAGCTATCATGCAGAAACCAGCCCCAACTGGGACATCTCTAACACTACCTACCTGTACACCTAAGCCTCAGGGAATATTATAGAAAAGGGGGTCGAAGAATTCTAAAAGCCAGAGAACTAGGACACTAGCTAACTGTGAGATAGTGTTTTCTAAATATGACAGGGATCTATATCCACGAAATCTCAACAATATGGCTCCATTAACAAGCTCTACATGATGGCCAAAACAGCTGACATTCAACATAGATAGGGCAAGTTTCGCAAGGCTATAGTTCCATTGATATAAAGGTCTAGGCAAGCAATGGCTGCCGTGAGAAAGAGAATCAAGTTTCTCCGGGGACAAATCCCCTGCCAGGTTATCCAATCCCAAATAAACACCCTAAGCACATACATATACGAGCAACACTAAGCAGACTTAGTATGTAGTACATGATGTATATGTGTATACATATAAGTAATGGTAACAATTGATGACGAGAGGTCATGTACTTAAGGGGAAGTGGGGGACATCAGAAGAGTTGGAATGGGGAGAGAGTAGAAACGCTATAAAGTACTCACATATGGAATTCTCAAAAACAGTTACTAACAGCAACAAAATCACCAGATTGTGGGGGTATGTCTCATTGGTAGAATACTGAACCTAAGGTCCCAAATTCAATCCCTGGAAGTGGGAAAAAATTAAATTTAAATTTAAAGCTCACCATTTTTTCTTATAGCATTCCCTAGATAGCATTAAGAATATTCTCATGCAAGGACATAGTTCTGTAAATGACAAGTTTATTACTGTAAACCAGACCATCTGTAGCTTACACACACATTGTAGAGTAGCCCAGAAACTTAAACTCCTTTTTCTTTAAGACAATATGTTCCAAATGACAAATAAAACCTTACAAGCTATTTGAAAACAAATCTATTCCTTACTGACACAAAATAATGGGAAAATGTAGTGAAATAGAACTGGGTACCAATCCAAATTCTGCCATTTGGTCCCTTGAGAAAGATATTTGCCACTTTTAGACCTGATTTTTCTCACCTAAATGATGACAGGAGCTGATCTGAAAATACTTTCAGCTCTAAAAAATGTGTTTTTATAAAATTCCATTTGTTCTGTGGCAAACGACAATATAGAAAGGTTCCAAGTAATTTAAGATGCTTTGTAAAGAGGCCAGTTGGTAGAGTGCTGGCCTAGCATCCATGATGCGGAGTTTGAACTCCAGCGCCACATAAACCAAGAGTTTATGTGCAATCTTAGCACTTAGGAAGAGGCAGAAGGCTCAAGAGTTCAAGACCATCCTGAGTTACATGAGACCCAGTCTCAAAAACAAATCCTTTTCTAACCTAGCCTGATGCCTCTACTCTCCCAGCCATGACTCACACACCGATGGATAAGTGGAAGAAAAGACTAAGAGGTCTTAGCCATAAGAAGAGAAAAATGAACAAAACTTAACTGACTTTATGGTAATTCCCTCTTCTAAAATCCCAATAACATCTTAAGCCCATACTTTTCTTTGTTGAACTTTAGTTAATTATATCTTGAAGTTGAATTAAATTATTTTAGATTTCATATTTACTGAATATCTCACAGTTTTTACTGTTCAATGGAAGTGGCAGAAAGCAGTTGAGAAAAAAGCTTGCTCAGGTGCCCTAAACGGTAAAGACTCAGGCTGGGCATGGAGCCCAGTTGCTTGTGATGCCTGAGGCTTGAGATCATCCCTACTAATGAAACAAACGCTCGTTATCAATATAACCCAGTTTATCACTTTTATGCTTCTATTCGCCTGTTCAACTCTC